TGCTTAGTATATGCATCAACAACTTTTTAAAGTTGTCAATAAATATTATTTAGACACTCGAGAAATGACTTATTCCAATTGACCACCTAAACACATGATATGTTAACCACTCAAACTATGTCACATTCTCTAATTATATTCATCAACCAGAACAAGCGCGAAATTTTATGACTTATTAAAGAATTGTTGTCTTTGATCCTTTATTTAAACTATGTAATATCAAAAGAATGACTCATCTGAATACTTAACCACACATATTACACATTTCGAAATTAAAAGAGGATTAAACAATACTTATAATTTCCTGTTATACAAGCAAACATATGATCATTGAAATTTACAAGTCAATATCAATTCTTATGCAAAAAGAACATAAAAGGAACCTCTATAGAATATTTTGAGATTTGACAAGAAAGAAATCCTGCATGCTTTATTTCTAAGGCATTACTTTTAGTTTAAATGCAAGGAGTTTAACATGGAGATGATGCAGATTTTAATCATAAAAATTAAAGGAATTGAAAGGAGGTAATCTGATTTTTCATTTAGTGCAATATTGAAATAGTAATTGATCTCATCTCTTGCAAATCCCTTTTTTTGTTAGAAAAAAATAAATCTCCTACAAGAATGATGTTCATTATATCATATTTTAGGTCCCAACATACATAAGAAATAAGATTCCATGTATAAATACCATAGTTGATACATAATGACCTGCTCAAATTCGAATAACAAACTAGCGTAAATCGTGCATTTACTTTCAAGATAATGTTGGATTAAGCTTTTGGTGGAAGAGAGAGATTGGTAGATTCCTCAATTCCGGTTTGGGACTCGGGATGTTCTTGTTTTGCAGAAGTTGCTGCAACTTCTTGCACATCACTTTTAGCAGAAGTTGCAGCATGTTCTTGCACATGACCTTTAGCAGAAGCTGCAGCAAGTTCTTGCACATCACCTTTAGCAGAAGCTGCAGCAAGTTCTTGGACATCACCTTTAGCGGAATCTGCAGCTTGTTGTTGCACATTACCTTTTGATGAAGTTGCAGTATTTTCTTGTGCATGACCTTTAGTAAAAGTTCTTCTTTCTTCTTCAGCCAGTTTTTCCTTTGTCTTCTGTCCCACTTCCCCGGCAGCCTTAGTGACTCGACTTAAGGCACCTGCAGCCCAAGTTACCCCTGTCAAAGCATATCTGTTCTTCATGATGGCGGATCCAGCATTGCTAACTGTCTGCTCAGCAGCTGCAAAAGCAGATTTTGACTTTTCCGAGACTTGGAATTTCTGGTCCATTTCTTTCACTTTGTGGTTCACAATGGTTGCTCCTGTAGTTATTTTCTCACTAAGGCCATATTTTTGGTCTAAAGAAGCAACTGTGGCTGAGGTAGTGGATGTGATCTTGTGTCTCTCGTCTAGTGCCTTGGCTTTGCCAACTGCATCCTTGCCCAAGATAAAGCCCTTTGCCAACATGCTGCTGACGACGTCCTCTGCCTTTTGAATAGCAGATCCAGCAGCGGGTGCATTGGTGCTTTCAGTTGGCTGCACATATAAACAGTACACCATTTATGGACAATCATGTGATGGATGAAGCCGGAAAGTCTGCTTAAAACATAAAGTTATACATACAACTGGTGATACTGAAGCTGTAGGTGGGAGCTTGTACTCGGGTGCAAGGACTATTGAGATGGACTGATCAACAATTGTAGCTCCCTAAAAACACCAAGTGAGCTTATCAATCGCAAAAGTGGAGCAGTAAAGGAACAGTCACAAATTGGAAACAGCTCATCCTTGTAATCAAGCAACACTTAAGCTATGTGAACAACCAACAATACTTATGCTAGAATACACTTTATCTGTATCTCTGTTACAAGACTTCAAGTGGATTGAAGAAGAAGAGAAACAATGGTAGTATTGACTTTTTAAGTATAGGATAGTTCCCTTACTCTCCGTAACATCTGAGCAATCTGACATTAAATACTAAAACAGTGAGAGTATCCACAAAAAAAATTGTCAATAAGACTTTTCACACTGCAATTTCCCCTAGAGGTATGTTGATCGTTCTATTAAAGCCATCATGCTGAAGTAAGAAGGCCACACACAAGTAACATGGACCTAGGCTTTTATGATTTCGCTAGCTACTTTGAACTATTCTCTGGCAGAAATGGGGAGCTTCAAGACTTTAAGCACTTTTGTCATCTGCCTAATATAATCCTTCTCCACCCTCCCCTACACATCAAGGAAAAAACGAAGAAAGACAAACTGAAACCTAGCCGTGCACAAAAAAAAAAATTAATAAGAAATAAACATCAACAACGACAGAGAAAATCCAGAACTCACCAAGTCAAGATACAGACAACAATGAATGCTACCGAACCGAAAAACACTTAAAGGAGGTGAAAACTGGAAGCTCATACAGAAGCTCCCCACGTTAGATTGAGGGATGAGTTGTTTGTCTACTTATTTGGTCCTGAGCAATCCTCACCTCATACGGAAGAATCCCACATTGGGTTGAGGGATGAGTTTGTTTGTTTACTTATTTGCCCACCTCATGAACTAATTTTTGGATTGAGTTAGGCCCACGGTTCATTTCTTTATCGTAAGCTCCTTGTATTAATATGAAATGAGGAATGAAACTTTATCTCCCTCACCCCCCGTTGGCCAAAAATGCTAACATTTGTCTATGTTGGGAACAACCAAAGTTATGTGACGACTCTGATCAACTGAATCAACTGTAGTTTATATGGGACCACTTTGGAACTTCTATTGTTCTTACAGAAAGAAAAGGCTCCGAGTGAAGAAACCTAATTGAAAAGGAGATACCAACCAGCAGTGGTGTGTGAAGTACTTATCCAAGTAAATAGATGGATTAGCTCTTAAAGCTCCCCAGTTAACGGTCTCACAAGCTTACAAGTGACAGTTTAACCAAGAGAAACAGTACAAACGTGAAGCAAATTGTCGCCCCTTAGGGCAGCTGATCCTTTGATGTTCCTCAACATAAGCAGTATCCATTTTTTCTTAACCTAGAAAACTTAGCAATCTCATAAATGTGAAAGAGAATCTGAATTTATCTCACATAGATGGAATTATTCAGGACAACCACAAAAGCACAAAGCCACAAACTGTGAGCTAACCTACTTAATGCTATTCTCAGAATTTTGCTGTAGGGACACTTCAATATTCCCATTCTATCACCTCACAAAACAATATTCCACATTGAAGAAACAAAGTTATAATTCAAAAAGATTTAGAAAAAGGAAAAGGGGTGCTAGCTCGTATCATTTTTGATAAGGGATGCTTGCTAACTTAACTAGCACAAAGGTCTTGTACCTTTCATAGAATTTGTGGTGTACACTCAGAGACATAACTATCATAAATTATTCTAAAAGACATTTAATGCCTCCAAAAGTAATACTTCATCAACAAAGATAACAGTTTTTTCATCATTAACTGGCAATTGTAGAAACTTATTAACTATCAAGATCAAGGGGAAGTTTACATACTGAAAGAAGAACTGCAGTCTCTGCACTCTGAGGATCCTTGAATGTTACATAAGCAACTTGTGATCGCTCACTCTCACTATAAAAGAAAATTAAAAAAACATGTAAGTAACCATCAATCATCCTCAATAGGCACATTTACCCCTGTTTATCACCATATAAAATGTTGTGTAAAGATAAGTTAGATGCTGAAAAATTCAAAAATAATAATTATAAACTAACCCTTTCATCTCTAAATATTCAATATCCCCAGAGAAGGAGAAGAACTCCTTGATATCTTGCTCTTTAGCACCCAAAGAAACATTGTTCACTTGCACTGTTTTAACCTATCATAATAATAAAACAACCAAAAATATCAGCAAGACTTTACAACAAAAGGCTTAATTCTTCCACCCCGGAAGATGCAAAATCTCACGTACGGTTACGTAGAGTGGCAGTAAAAATGACTTATCTGTTAACTTTTCCACTATCAACCAAAAAAAAAAAAAAACAATCTTTAAATATTATTATCAGTTATCACCTGATGGGTATATTGCCATAAGATTAAAAGTCGTACCTTTCCTATATATACTAATTACAAAAAGGATATAAAGAAGAATTATTTTGTTTATGTATTTGAGAGATTTATTTACAAATGAAATCGAATCTCATAGAACAATAAGTCACAAAATGGAAAACAAATCATCAGCTATAATTAGCATTTGTGACAGAAAATTAAATTTAAAAAAAAAATAGAGATGTTGAGCTATTCACTTACCGTCATCGATCGAGATTAAAAAAATAGCAGATTAATCAGAGAAGAATAGAAGGAAACAAAATTGGAGGAAGAATCCAAAAGGGGTAAAAGATGGAGGAGTTAGAAATAGAACGTGTTGTACGCAAAAGTTGGCAAATGTTTGTTTCCAATAAGGCCAAACGAATATTGAGGGAGAGATATTTTATTTTTAAGTACAAAATAAATTAATTTAGCTTTCTATTCTGTTTTTATAAAGAATAGAAGTTTGCTTCCTAGTTCTCTGCACAAGTTATATTCAAACCAAATCAATAAATGTAAAATATACCATCATAATTAAGTGGTATATTTTGATTCTTTTATTTTTTAACGATTAAGGTTAATTTCATTAGTTTAGTGCAGATATTCGATGTAAATAATTTTTTTATTATAGTTACAAATGGTTACTTGTCGATTGCAAGCTTCTCCAAAATTTTGTAGGAGACCTCCACAATTCACTGTATTCTTAACGCCAATATTATAACTGCCAATATTTTCAACCTTCGCATGCTATATGGTTTCATAAGCTTTGTCGATTCTGACTTACAATTTATTGGTACACATTATTGGAATACCATATTTGGTAAGTTTAAATAAGTATTTTTGGCAAAAGGGTACTTGGATGACACTTGGAAGAGGTAATATTAGTAAATGATAAAACTGAAGACAAACTCTAACAGCAAAACAGAAATAGCAGAGGCGTTAAGGCTAATGCAACTTCCTTCTTTCGTCGTTTTGTACTCTCTAGTATTAATATTTTCACTTGCACGGCACATCGCCCACTTCTCCTGCTCTTTTCTTGCAAAAACTTATGTATTTTCAAATTCAATTCAAAAGCAACCTCCCCATTGCCAACACAAAACGTTGCTTCTCCTCCTCTTTGTAGACGCAGATTTCTAATTCATTTACAGCAGAAAAAAATTACTCTCTTTTTTGTATGTTTTCAAAATGAGCTTTGAAGATCTTGAATCAGGAAGCTCATTGTATGTTCAAGGAGGAAGTGGATCATGGGAACGACAAACAAAACAAGCCATCACAAATCCTTCTGCTTCTGATAATCGTCAATCCATAGTAGTAAGTGTGTTTCAAATAAACACAGCTTTGACGAACTTTCAACGACTAGTTAACACGCTTGGAACATCCAAAGACACTCTTCAACTCCGCCACAAGCTGTAAAGACTTGTATTCTGTGTTCCTTGATTAAGCGCATTTTACACTGGTGCATGTGTTAACAGGTTTTAATTTCTTGCTTTTCTCTGCAGCCACAGTACAAGGCAGCAAATTGGGGAATTGATAAAAGAAACTTCAGCTAAGCTTAAGAAAGCCATTGAATCAAATCGACATTCTCAATCTAGTGTAAGTGGATGAATTATTTGAACAAGAAAGTGAAGATAGAAGAATGGGAACCTTGTCAGTAATGTTTCTTTTAAACTTCAGGTCACCAAGAAGATCGCCGATGCTAAGCTTGCTAAGGATTTCCAATCTGTTCTTAAAAAGTTCCAAAACGCTCAGCAACTTGCAGCACAGAGAGAAGCAGCTTACACTCCTTTCATCTCCCAGGAAATTATTTCATCCAGGTAATTAACCACTCCAAATGCTTCTGCCACTTTCTTTCTTAGCCCGGATCTATGATCTTATCTTCGTATCTTACATTTGTATTTTGCAGAAGCACAGAGATTCAAATAAGTTCATCGATCAGTCCCGAGAGCGGTTCGACCCTTCTGGAATCCAAAAGGTTAGGAGATAACTAAGTACACACTCGTTGATAATGTATGTTAAGAAACTTTATTTCAGCACCCACGTCTCAGTATGGCAAGGCAAGTTGCTGTAATCTTATTTTTCTTTCTATTTTCCCAAATTCTTTATGCTACCACCAGTTCTTTTGCTCATAGTGAACCCTGGCTTTACTTCTATGGCAGACAGGACGTCGTACAACTGGAACATGAGATTGTTTTTAACGAAACCATCATAGAAGAAAGAGAGCAAGGAATGATAGAAATCCAGCAGCAGATTGGTGAACTGAATGAGATGTTCAAGGATTTAGCCCTATTGGTCCATGAACAAGGAACTATGCTCGGTTAGCCAATATCTCTATCCGATCCGATCCTTTGTCTTTCTTCCTCTGAAATTCCAACTATAACTAATCTTATTAATGAATCTGACATCCTAAAACCCATCTGCCAGATGATATAAGTTCTAATATTGAGAGTTCTCATGATGCAACTGCACAAGCTGCAAAGCAACTTACCAAAGCATCGAAAATCCAACAATGTAATTCATCTATGGTAAGAGTCTATATAGCAGCTATTCCTATGATAGCTGACGAATTGCCTTTAGCTTGGCGCAAAATTGATACTTCCAAATTTTCTTTGCAGAGCTGCTTGTTGTTGGTGATATTGGGGATCATCCTGCTAATAATAATTGTACTGGTGCTAGCATAAAGAGTTTTCCTCCAAGTTACTAAATTGAGATATTGTAGCTTTTTCATCTCTCAAGTGTATGGGTTCCAATTGTTCTACCTGCATCAGTCTGCTAATGTAGATAATTTGTACATCAGTATGACCTTCAAGGTACAGATGTACAGTAAAACAATTTTTAGACACCGGGAACTATCTGTGTTCAGTGTGCTACCACATTTTGTCTGTTGTACGTAATCTTACCTTTCATTTCTACAAGAGCTTATCCCCAGGCTTGAACTCGTGACCTCTTGGTCATAAGATGACAACTCTTACCATAGCGTTAAAGCTCTTCATTTCAATGATCCAGATATAGTACAAATTGGTATTCGACAATCACATTAGCAAGTAAATTACTAAGTACTACCATTTTTTCTTGTACTTCAGAGATGGTAAGAAGTAGTTTGGTAGGAGAATACCATCCCAGCATTATCCTCCAAGTCCTCCCTTAGCTCACTGACATTCGTCCGTCCTTGCTAGACTAGTGGTTCTATACATAATTTACATAACCAAAAGGGTACAACTATTTATTTCTTGAGCTCCACGCATCCACCTGATCCCAACAAAGGCAAAAATCAATTGATTCAACAGGCAAAAAAAGATATTACCTATTGGCTATTGCGATTGATCCTTTCTGACCGCATTCAATCGAGAAAACTGATATCTATCACAATTGAGTGCATGTGAGGACTAATCTGCTACCAGAGTGGGTATTAATCTCCATCAAACATTGGTAATCCGGTAAAACTTTACCCACACGGTGTTTACACCAAACCATAACCCAAATGAAACATTTCCACATGGGCAAATAAAGGTTCTTCCTCTATTTCTCATAAAATAGCAAGCAACAAAGAGAAATATAACCAAACTAATGGCTGCAAACTAAAAACGACCACAAATACTTAAGACTTTCAGAATGACCAAATATTAATCTGATAATAAGATACTGGGAAAGGAAAATATGTTCATGACTGTTAAGCTCATCATATCTAGAAAGAGAATCGACTATATGATGGGAGAAATCTGCTTAAAGTAACCTTTGCAGATTAACAGTATCACATTTTCTTGAAAGTTTTACTTACATCTGTATCAAATCCTCACTGTCATTCTATTATGTTTAAAAGAACTATATACACCACCAGTAACAATCTTTTAGCAACCTTTCCATCCCCCGCATCGTAACTAGAATATCCAAATACTCAAAGTGTTAGAATCAAAATGCATTAGGCACATAACATATTTTTCTACTCAAAACTTTGTCTGTGGTGAAGACCAGTCCCCCCAGAAAGGCATTGCTGTCAGTCCACCAGTACAGCGCATTCACCTGACAAAAACCACAGAAACATGATGAGAAACTAAAAGCCCCTATGCTCTCTCCAAGCATACCAAAGGTTTTAGTAGTTGTGCTCAAAGCAAAACTATAATGTTGTAAAGATTAGAACATGCATACTAGACATAGAAGGTCCTGAAATGAAATGGAGAAATATTGAAACCTGACTCCACCTCGAGATGTCATCCACCCACCCATATAATGCAGAATGTTAAGATATAAAATCAATGAAACATCTCTGTTCCCACTACAAAATAAGAATTAACTCAACAAGAGATTTTAAGCAACCAGCAGGCTGTCAGCAGCATACAGAGTCACATAGAGCTATACACTGAAAGTGAGATACCTCTTTTTTAATGGAGAAAATGAAAAAACTAGTCCCTTATGTTTGGGGGTTGGTCTAAACCTGCAAGTGAATTTCCTCTATGTTAGCAGTATACAGAGTCACGTACTAAGGCTGTTATTGATGGTACACGTGAGATAAAAAAAAGTTGATCCATTCGCTAATTCATATAACTGAGGGTCGAAGAAAGAAAATGGTGTATTTAATTGGCTTGAAAAAGATTTTTCTTAAGGTACGAATAGGGGGGAATAAATCTGGAGAAGTTCATGCTGATGGTTCTCTTCAGTTTAAACGGCTAATTGGTAACCATGCCTCTCACGAGCCAACTGCATCAAAGCTAACACCACCAAGTATTCTAATAATAATAGAGACCAAAAGTGCTCAATGGTAGTAAACATGAAAGGCTAAAACTACTTGGATGTATATATAAATGCCCATTTTAGACCTTCCCCCAAATCATAAGAGAGATTTTATCAGTTTCTCTTGAGTTATGCACGCATAAGTTTTTCGCATAAGCTAGAATTACAAAAACTTCGGATAAAAGAAAATGTTGTGTAAAAATCAAAATTAAAGGAAATGGTAAGAATTTTGCAACGGTTTGTCAAAGGGATAGGAAAGTAATAAGCTCATCATAGTGAATAACAAACAAAATTTCTACCTTTGATGTTTTCTGGATTCAACTAAAATTCACAATTTCATTCACTATGAGAGCCTGATGTGAGAAGTCCCATCTGTTAAGTAAGATGACTCATACGCTTCAGTTCTTCACAATCACTCTCTTGAACTTCTGGAACATCCTCTTCTTTTGCTAAACCATCTTCTAATGCTAGAGAACCAATCTCATCCTTATCGCCAGTGAGAGGGCTTGCTAAAAGAATCTGGTCCCAGAAAATGTCATTTATGCCTGGAAGCTTAGGCATCTCGTCCAAAAAGACATCATCCATAGAAAATCCATCAGGGACAATGGATGCTACATCATCCACAATATCTTGCATTGTTTCAATGTATGGCATATCCCCGGTCTCCGGCTGCTTAAGGTCAGTTATTTCAAGAGTTTCCGGTGTATTGAACCCATGTCCTGAAAATTCAGGGTTCACATGATCCGTCTGAGAGTTGAGCGCATTTAATTCAGGAAACTGAGGGACCTTGGCTTGCCCAGGAACCAGACTAGGGGAATACTGGATCTCAGGAATGACAGATAAACTAGAGTTGAATGGAAATCCTGAATCTGACATCAGATGAGATTGTGAAGAAGTTGCCAATTGCGAAAGAGTAACCTCAGAAATATGAGGGGATATACCACCAGTCTCTAATGTATTTTCAAAAGACCGGGCGCGATTAGTCAAGAAACCATGTGTATTCTTAACTATGGTCTCCAACCTACCAGATGTATTAGTTTTCAGGAGCTTCTGCAGCAATGCTTTTGCTGCCTCATTCATCAAAGGCTGGTAACGGACTATCTGCCTGTCACGCAAAGTACTGACCTGCTTGGCTGCATAATTTTCTTCTTCCTGGTTGGGGAATCTCCTCTTCTTATTCATCCCAGGAATGCGCCTTTTACCTTCATTCTGTTGATGAACCAGTTCAGCTATAAAGCCAGGGCTTTGCAAGGCCTTAGCAAGGAATGTCATCGCTTGCTGTTCCCTTTGCTCCATTAACTGAAGACGCTGCCCAACATTCTCCAAGCGGTGATCTGTTGCCTTCTGCTGCTGCCTCAAATTGACTAGCTCCTCCATATGAATACTTTTATCTATTTTAAGCCTTTCCACCTCTTCTTCAATTCCAATCTTCCCAACTTCAACACAAGATCCAACAGATAAACTTTGCACTTGGGAGGCAGTCTCCTGATGAACCTGCATTTGAGAGGGTTTTCGCCTACTTATAGTCTTCAAGAGGTGCTTCTGGCCTCTAAGAAATCCCTCATTTGCAAATTCCCAGCAGTCTGGATCAACCTTCTTGTAACCCTGGTTGATGAAAGGGGATAGCAAACTGTTAAAAGAGTAAAGGCTGCCCAACATATACAAAGAATATTTGTAACCGAAATACACAGACAACAGAGAATGACAACACTGTATTAAGTATTAACTGCATTACACAAGAAAATAATTCCCTCGTCATAATTAGAAGAGATTCTCATCGTCAATCAATTACTTAGAACATTGAAACCTGGACAGAATTGTTGCAGTATCACATAGATACACTTCATTTGATGTCTTGAAATTGTTATTCAGCAGACAGGACTAGCAAATGATTGGATTGCTAAAATAAGAAGTTGGGAATGGAGTCATGTGAGATTGTAATACTTGTAGTGATTTGTATATATCAACTTTTTCCAACAAAAATGTCTTCGCTTGCTTACAATTTAGTCAATATTTCAGCACATGCAACAAACACATTATAAACGGAAATATTGATGTTACTTATTTTTGTTTTTGTTTTTTTTTGTGGTGGGGGTAAACCAGACCTTTTTTTCCTGTTGGAATACTGTTATCCCATGAGAAAACATTACAAGCCCTGAACCCAACTTTGCAAAGCACACCAAACACTGAAATTACCATTTATCTTCCAAATATTGAATTCAAGATAGGCCCTAAACATAAACTTCCAGGAGATTAAGTCTGCTTTACCAACCCTGCAGACCTTTGAGCTTCCAGGCACTTTGTCCTTGCACCTCCTTGGTGCTCCTTCTCTAAATAAATAGAAGTCCTTTTACAGATAACATTTGCATACATAGTGATTGCCTCAAGTCACCCCCAGTTTTTCTATTTAAGATATTTTCCATGGCCAACTAATAATCAGTTTACGCAGCACATAATTTGCTAACTATGAAACTGAATAGCAGGAAGGACACACTCAATGTAAATGAAACCTTTGAATGATATTCTGAACTAATATACTAATCAGAAATTCTCTTCTAATTAGATAGAAAGTTTTTGCCTATTTGCTCAAATTTTGCAACATCTTTCCAACTCAATGTGCTAATCATATATAATCTCAGGATAAGATATCAACAAATAGAAGACAAATAAGATATCTTATATAAGAGCTACAAAACAACCTATCCAAGTAAAAACACCTAAAACAACAGAAAAAACGTAAATAAATCTCGCAGAAACAATCACCATAGCAATCAGCTGTGTCTCAAAATTATTAGTATATTTCCACTTCATTCAGACCGATGCACATTAGCTACATTCAGAATCCAATTCAACACTTGAAAAAAAAAGTGGTTTATTTAGGGTTTAAGTAAATTTCTGCAAACACGAAATCACAAGCAAAAGCATAAATTTCGTAAGAGCGATGAAACAAAGAAGAATTTTATTAATTTACTAACATAAGTATTCAACTGCCTGACGAAACTGGAAAAGTTATTGTGCTTAAAATACTTGGGCAAAATATCCCTGGAAAACTCCGGCACATTCCATACGACGAAACTGTTATTACTCTTACTCCACGACACAACAGTGTCCGTCGACCGATCATCCACCATGTCATACGTTTTGCTCAGAAAAGGCGGAAGCGAATTTCCTATCTCATGAACTCCTTCCATAGTTTTTTCGCCGTCCGGCGACATTCTGACGGTTGCTCTGTTTATTCACCTGGCATACACAGATAGAGATACGAAGAAGCAGAAGTTACACGAGGCACTAGAAAATGGTTTGTAGGTCTCGCGATTCGAGGAGATGGTGAGAGAGAAAACTTGTTTGTGGAAAAAAAAGTGATAAAGACAAAGTAGCAGAGTTCAGACTGAATTACTCAAAGAATAAATGCGTCCACCCCTTTTGTTCCCATTTACTTGTCAACCATTTTTTTGGTTTATTTTAATTCGAATAAGCGTCGAGTTGGCTTATTTTAGAGCTTCAAAATCGAATTCTAAAAAAATTTATTGATGAGTATTAATTTAGTGATATTGGTAATGATTTTTTTTTTAAAAGTTAATCAAGTTTTAATAGTTGAGGTTTTATTTTAATGGATTAATTAATAATTCCTTATTAAATTATTAAATTATATTTATATTATTCGGTATATAAAATCTTAATCGATAATGATCAATAATAATTAATAATGAATAACCAATAGATTATAAGTAAAATTCAAAAAATTTAAAATCAAGTCGAACTAATCGATACACAACCTAACTTAATTTGAGAAAGGTTTTTTACTAAAGATATTTTTATATTTAAAACTCAAAATTGAGAGGTCAAGCAAATTGTCCGCTTCACTACGTCCTTTGATGATTATTTACCAACCATTAGTTGTTCTAAAAGTGCACAGACACGTAAATAAAGTTTAATTAGTTATTAAAATTAAACTAATGTGATTAAAAAAAACTGAAGAGTTAATAAAATAAAACTAATCTGATCCTCTCCTTATTAATTACAGTTTTTAAAGAACTTATAAAACTTATTTTTTACTAAATAGGAGTAAGGGAATACTATTATATTAGAGATTTTGTTAACGAGGTCGATTTGGTTTTAGAGGTAATGTAGGGATTCGCAAGACAAGTTCGTAGTAATATAAAAATGAATACATAATCTCTTGTTAAATGTGGGAATATTGTATTAAAAGTTATTATCGCATAGTGTATATTGTATAATTTGAAAATAAGTGTTTGCTTCTTTTTGAAAAATTGTTTATTAAGAGGGTTAGCTTTGGAAATTAGTTATTTAATTTTTCATGGCTAATATCCTTACTTTTTCTGAATATTCTATTATGCATAAATAACACACAAATTTGATATAATTCATGTCTTTACAAAAGAGAGAAGGAAGAAACTAGACATTATTTTTTATTTAAATACATAAATGCAAAATCTTGTGGGGATAATGTACCTCTCTAGCTAACCAACCAAACCATAAATGAAAGAGGAAGTAGGAGGTAATCTACGATAGAGCGGCGAGAGGTGTTAAAAATTATTGTCATATTAAAATAAGTTTAAAACCATAGGAAATAATTGTGATCCGCTATAAAATATTGTAGACATTGAAAATTTGTACGACTGTGTAAGACGTTTTCAATTCTAGTTGGGATACTATATGTATTGATTCCGGTTAGAATTCTTGGAGGATATACCAAACCTATTTCAATTCCTAGCTTATGTTTATATAAAAGGTATTATATTCTCTTAAAGAAGCATCTCGAATATTTCGCAAATTCATAAAATATTCGTAAGGATCAAATTCAAATCATCTTAGTTCGAAAAATATGCCACAAATGACCCTTGAATTAAATATCTTAATCAAGGGAGGAACAAAATTGTACTCACAATCTTGATCAATAAATTATGTTTCTTCATATTTTATTTGTGATTACAATTTATTCTTTTGTCACTTCAAAATTTGTTTACCTTAAGAAAGATTAAAAAAATTACTAACTTCACCTAAACATTACGAATTTACGACATATATATTAATCATTTATAGTTAGCTAAGTATTGAGAAATTACTTACACGACTTTAAAATCATTCTGATTAAGTCAAGAGAGTGGTACTTCCTTTCATGGACATTATTCCTCCACGGATAGAAGTGGGCAAAGAAGGATGTTTGGAAAAATTGCGGTAAGCTAGATAACAGTCATTTATTCTAAATTCTTATTATAAGTATTAATTATTTATATATTTTTTTAATTTTATTTTATTTATTAAGATAATGAGATAATATGAACGAAATGAAAATTCATATATTCGACTCTAACTTGTTTGAAATTGAGGCATAATTATTGTTATATCCACCCTATACATACACGTCTTTCTTCCCCCACATGCTTGTAAAGCTTATTGAACATGATGACATAGAACTTCATCCTTCAAGATCAATTATTGAAGATTGCAGATACTTGTTGGAAGTCAACAGCGCAACTGAAGGTCACATATATGCAGAAATTTTGTTTATATAGGAGAATGCAATTAAGGAAATGGAGATCTTACTCTTATGAACGATTTTAGAACTTGTTAGTATTTTTCATTGTACCAAAAAGTAACAAGGAATGTTCATTCAATGGTATGAACATGTACATAAGGAATATGAAATTTTTCTATACATGTACTCAATTTTTCTTAATAATGTGCAGCAACAAGAAGCCAACTGATCGAGTGAAGTTGACAAAGAGGTACCCAAGTTCTTCACATCTTTAGACTTGGTGAGGGAGAACGAACCTCATAGAGTATGCTTGGTGTACTCAATTAATAAATTGCAACATCAGCTGTGATGCAGAAACATCAACTTCCTTAAACATCTCTGCCAACAAGAACCAACGAGTAACGCTAGCACAGACACTAAGTTACCGTAGCACTATGTATAACAAGTGCAGTACTTCAGATAACACTGTTTGTCACAATTGTAACAAGTACATTGTCCCAAAATATTGCAAGTCCCCGACCATTGAACCACCAAGCCCCATAATGTATTGACTAGTTATGTGAGTAAGGGGTGCAAGCAGGGATGTCTAGGCACAAATGCAACCTTAGAAGGTGTCCACTTAATGACAACGGCTAGGATTAAGATGTACCTAAGCTTTGTACATTGTAGATCTGGAAATTTAAGCCCTGTGGGTAAATGATAAGGTTTGTGACACCTTAAACAATTGGTATGGTCTAACGTTCAGTTTCTCACACCAGAATAATTAACTCCTGATGTTAACTGTTAGTGTGATCTAAGTGAACCATAAATCGCAATCCATTCAAGAAACAATGCCACCAACCCAGGACACACAAAATTTTCTAGCCATCAACGACATCCTCTACTAAGCATATGGAATTGCATTAAGAAGCATGAAAAATAAAACAAAACAAATGTATCTTAGAAGACTACAAAATACTAATTCTACGATTGCTTGAACCAATTACCCACAAAGGCAACCAAAATATTGAAGGAATTAACAAGATAGAAAAATGGCTCAAGCAATCACAATATTGAACATGTATTGAAAAACACCAATTCCTCAAAATTTAAAACTTCATTCAACATAACAGTTGAAACTTTGAAGTATTATCATCCGGTTCCAAATTATTCCACATCTCATTTACTAAACTTAAGAAAAAACGAGAACGAAAGAGAAGCATCAATTGCCCCAAAAGTCAGTAGACTTCACCTTACAATTTTACGAAATTAGAGCAGTTAGCCTCTTTTGACTCACATCTACCTCAAGATGCAGGTTTATTACTTCAGCATCATCTGCAGCTGAGCTGTTTCCATTTTCTGGAAAATCTGTTACCTGCCATTGAAATAAAGGAGTAAAAGGCTAACTGTATAACCACTACACTGGCCTATAATGATCATCAGAAGCCTAACGAGACTCGTTGTTTAGCTTCTCGCGTGCAATATCTAGGAAAAATGCAGTCATCATAGTCTCATAGTTTGGCATTTTAGCATAGCCAGGGAAATAATTGATATCAATAACAAGATATCGATTCCCAACTTTTTCATCTCTAATCATATCAAAGTTAAAAAGATGCAACTTCAAAGCATCCCTCAACTGATTAGCCACATCTGTCACAAATCTCGATGGAGGCATCACCGCCTTCTCAATCAGTTCAGCAAAACTATCATCATTCTGATCTTGAGCAGTCAAATTAGATATCTGGGAAAACGATATCAAATTCTCTAACATCCCCAATTTCTCCTCCGGAATATCAGGCAATGACCTCCTCTTCACACATTTCACATGTTCCCCAGCTACATAAACCTTGAAAATAACTCCTCCGTGATTCACAAATTCCTGTAAAACAATTGGGGGTTTCAGCCCTTCTAACCCTTCCGGCTTCAAAACCAAAGACATTTGATGAGAATCAGCAGAACCATTCGCAATCAACGGCTTAGCAATAACAGGGAAATGTAACCCTTGACTAGTAATAGCGTCTAAAAGGGATTCCGAATTTTCTCCAACGAAAATCTGAATAGGGATTCCGATAGTTTCGTTATCTCCAGCGATTTTCAATTCGTTAACGACTTCGAGCATTGTGAGCCGATTGTGAAGCTTTTCAATGGCGTCGATTGGATCTACTATAATGGCGGTTGGGTTCTGAAGCGCGAATTCTTCTAACTGTTTCCTCCATTCTGGACCATATAGCTTGTGGAATATACAATCAAAAGGACCTTGTTCGATTAATGGTTTGTCAAGATCGATTTGGACTAGATCAATACCATTTTCTTGGGCATGCTTGATGAGTGAATCTTGAATAAAGCTTGAAACTTTCTTCGATGCAAGTACGTAACCAAAGCGAAATCGTCTTTCAGACATAGCTGTTTATCGAATTGAATTGAGAGATGAAAAAAAAAGAAAATATTGAAGAGGGGATTTTGATTTTTAATTTTGGGTGGCTGTATGATAAAAGGTATTCGTTTTACTAGTGTTTCTGGGGAGAAAAAATTATAGCGTGACACGTGGCAGGTTGGATATTCCAGGACTTTGAAAGTCGCGCCACACGTGGTATTTATTTTAGTTTGATTCATATGACACAAATTCCTAGCCCTCCACCGCCCAAACTTGATTGGACACCAATTCTTTAATTAGAAAGGGTATTTTAGTCCGTATATAAATTTTTCTTTAGCTCCTTAGAAAAAATATCTCCTCTTTATTTATCAACTTTTAGTTTAAATTTTTTTAATATATATTTAAAATTATAAGATTAAAAATGATTTGACACATTTGAGATATTTTTAATTTAAGATTATAAGACTAAAAAATCTTCTTTACGGTTCTTAAATTATGTGCCAAGTCAAAATAAAACAAACAAATTTCTAAGCTTATCGTAGTAAAGATTTGTATTTCAAAG